GGAGGCAGTCACGGTGCCAAGCCTGACAACATTCAAGAAGCATTTGGACAACGCCTTCAGACATGGTGTGAATTTTGGGGTTGTCCTATGCAGGGACAGGAGTTGGACTCGATGATCCTTGTGGGTCCCTTCCAACTCAAGACATTCTATGATTCTATGATTCCTGCACCACAGCACAGGCTGGTCACCAGAAGTGTCCTAGCAAGAAATTTCTCATCTGCATGAGGGTATCAGCAGCAGCTCTGCAGCCCCTTGGAGGGATTCCCTCCTTAGCCTGGTGGGCCAGGTCAGCCCCAAGGCTGGAAGCACTGCTGGTCTTTGTGGAGATACAGGATGACAGAAATAAACTGGTAAAAGAGAAAGCAGGTAGGGAGCACAGAGCAGATGGCACGGGAAGGAGAGAGACGGAGGAAGCGAGAAGCAGGCCTGCTTGCTACAAGGATGGAAGTACTGTTTCCACAGAGGCAGTTTCTCTTAATAGCTAGAAAGAAGATAACTGAATACCCCACACCTCTCCTTTCACATCAGAAGAAGCCCTTGTGGCCACTGGTGACAGCTCCTGCTCAGTTGCCTGCCTGCTTCCTGCACTACGTCTGGGTGGAAAACAGCCCTTCCGGAAAGATGCCAAACCATGAAGAAAAGGTTCAGAAACGTGCCTGAGTGTCATTAATGGCATGGACATGCCTAAAATGTCTACTCCATGGCTGCCGGGCTCTGGAAGCAGTGAGCTCTCTCAGGCTCCCTGGGCAACAGCTACCAGGTCTCTGGGCCTTTGCCTCCACCAGCTGCTTCATCGTGGAGCAACATCTCCTGTCCATATGTGGCAACCCTCCCTGCTCCCAGAGACTCTACTGGCCGTGGCAGACAGGACATCTTCCAGCAGCAGGCACCACCTGAACAGGACAGCACTGGGCACACCAGGAGCCAGCAGCCCGGCCAGGATGGGATTTTGCTGCCTGTACGCTGCTCATCAGACCACTGAAGCAGCAGGAGCATTGCCAGCAGAAGTAAAGTCTTTGAAAACTGGTGTCCTGGATGGTTCTGCATCAAAAGATGGATCTCCTGGGCTCCTAGCTAATGCATCTGCAAAAGCTCAGTACATTTGGAGCAGAGGAGCTCTTTGGACTGGCTTTGCTGATGACCACCACACACACAACAGCTGAGCATCTGACCAGCCAGACGCTGCCTCCTGAGCCCAGACAGATCTCATCCCAGGCTGCATGAACCCTGGGGATGCTGGTGTGGGTTTTCTGATGTCCCCCTCACCTGCGCTGACGGTAATGGCCTCCATGAACTGGTCCCTCCAGGAATGTGTTCCTACAACCAATGCCAGGTTTGTCTTCTTAATGAGCTTGTCCACGGTGCTCTGTTGTGGGAATAAAGATGCACAGCAATTAAACTGGCTGCTAGCAGGCAAGGCTGATCTTGCAGTGCATTGCGGTCTCACAGACCCTTCCCAAACTGTTTGGGTGCCACAAGCACTCTCCTACCAGTCAGATGAGGCCATGGACAGGCTGGCCCAAACCTCACCAGAGCCTGCTTCTTTGCCACCCCTTATTCCAGAGGACGCTTCCTCTTCCCTTGCTCCTGCCTCACCAGAGATAGCTTTGCTCCTGCCCTCTCCTGCACACTAGTTTCTTCTGCTTCCAGCAAGGCTCCCTTGTCTTCCTCCCTTCACCTCTGCCTATGAGCAGCTACATTCTCTGGCATCTCTTGTAGGCTTCCTCCATACTTCATTGCATTGCATTGTCCTTTTCATCTTCCAGCAGCCCTTTCCCTGCACAGGCGGCCACCCCCAGCCTCCTCAGTTCTGCTTTCCATGGCTGCTCTTCAGTGCCACGCAGCTTTCCCTTCCTGGAGGACACCTGGGACAACTACTGACCTTGAACTCATAGGACTCCTCAATGATGACTTCGAGTTTGGGATGCTCGCCAAGTATTGGTTTGCCCATCTCTGCAATCCTCTTGGCTTCCTCCTCTTCAACCGTCAGCTTCCTCTCAGCCACCTCTGTGAAAGCAAGGTCAACACTGAGCTGTAGACAGCAGCCCTGAAGCACTGGGCTTGCTTGCAGGGCCTGAGCATGGGCTTCTGCAGCCCCTTCACAGCTTGCTAAGCTCATGCAGATTTGGGGGGCAGTGGTGGGCTGTTGGACCACAGAAACAAAGGACCAAGATTTCTGGGTGTCAGTTAGTCACCACGAACATACACAACATGGTTTTAATGCATTAAAAAAAAAACCCAAATGTTTCTTCAGCCTGCATTGGTGCTCTTGGATGACATACGCCCTCCCATCATCCCTGCAGCAGCCACATCTTTGGGGAGATCATTTGGCACAAGTGTCCTGTAAGACAGCTTTAATTCCCTGGCATGTTTTCTGGCTTGAACGAACAAGAGACAGGATCTTTTTATTCCCCTTTGATTAGAAAAATCACTGTCGGCACTGTGTCACTTGATCTAACTCGCAGATAGACACGCACAGTCACAACCATACACGCACACACGTACACGTTCCCAGCATTTGGAAAAATGAACAGGAAGAAGTAAGTCAGGAGCCAAGTGGGTTTTTGCTTTCCTGTTACTGCATGTTTAGTTTCTGCTGGAGCAAACTAAACCAGGACCCCAGGTCAGCAGATGCCACCATGGGGCAGGAGGGGTGTCCCGTGGGACTGCCTGGGAGGTGCAGCATGCTGAGACGACTCTGTGCTGGTGTCACCTTGCTGATGCCCCAGCAAACCCAGCGAGGTGCCCGGGGAGGTTCTGGTTGCCCGGACGGGAAGGAGCACCCCAAGCAGCAAGAATGGTGTCCTGGCACTGTCCCCGGCCCTGACCCAGGTCTCCTCTCCCACCCACACACCCAAGTGCTGGTGGGCTCTCTGAAAAGCCTTGCCATCTCAAGAAAGAAGCTGTGTTTCCCCTGGCTTTCCTGTGCCTGACCAGTCAGGGCATACAAGCTGCAGCACAGGGCCCAGCTGAGCCAGGGAGCGGGAGCTGGAGCTCTGCAGAACCCGGTGGGGTATCACACGTGTAGAGCATCTTGTTCTGGCTGAGCAGTGGGTCAGATGCTACCCAAGGTTTCCTGTAGAGTTTACAAACACCCCAGGTAATGCCTCGCCTCAGATATGATTAATCCCATGTGCACTCCAGCAGATCTCATACTCAGCACCAAAAATCACACAGAAATTATAAAGTCCCAGTGAAATCTAGTTATAAACTGTGCCTTCTCTTCATCAACCCGGCTAGATTGATTGCAAAGACTGTAAACCTTGCAAGTCCTGCAGAGTTTATAAAATTTATAATGACTCCTGTGGCAGGTGACATTATTATAACCCATCACAGAAGCAGAAGCAAATACATCCATCATTTGAAATCAATGACGTACATCAAAACCATCAATGCCTAGCTCAAAGCCAGTGTACTCTGGATTTGGGAATCCCCAAAAGTTTACAAATACTGAGACCGGGGAGCACAGCACCTGGAGAAGAAGGTGGGCAACGCAGCCGGGCAATGCAGGATGCCAGAGGGGTAAGGGGGCAACTACCCCAAGGTAAGGGGGCAAAGACCAAGCAAGCACAGAGGGGAGGAGGCAGCTGAGCTGGAGAAGTGCAGAAACAGGGGTGAACTTGGACAAAATGTTCTGCCTTATGCTACACTTGGAGACATGGACTGATGATCATCAAGAACAAGATTCAAGTTACTTCTATTCACTTGAGTAGGCAGTTAGATGAAATCTACATCTCTTTTTCCAAGACAGAGATCAAGAAAGTCCAGTCTCTGCCTCTACCTGGAAGTGTATAAAGATGACAAGCTGTATCCATCATTGAAAATGCAGGTGTTTACATATCAGTTGCCATACCACGTACGTGGCTTGCTTCTGTCTGAGCTCCCCCACAACCTGCAGCTCAGGGGAGGAGGCACCCTCAGCTCTGCAAGGCCCAGCTTGGCAGATGAGCTGAGCGCGTGCTGACATGTGCTGACAGTACTGAGCTGAGCAAAAGCACAGCAGCCATCCCAGCAGGGTTGCAAAGCCCAGACTCGGGGACAGTCTGGCTCACTACAACCTTCGCTGGGAAGTAACTACATCAGAAAAGCTGCGGTCGCAGCTGGCGGCTCGGTCCCTTGGGCTCTCGCCCACTGGCTGCAGTTGCATAGCGCAGAAAGCAAATGTCTGGAAT